TGAGTTTATGTAACTTCCTGAACCACAAAAGAGAAAAGCCATTACGTATGTGTTAACCCGTCACTCCTAAAGAGTGGCAATATCCTCAGAACTCATGAACAGGCACAAACAGTTATCCTTCATTCAGGGTTAAGGTTTGGGGGGTACTGTTAGAATGAGGGTTAGGGTTAATGGATATAATGGCTTACATGTGTATAGAGAGCGCAATAGTTATGTCCCCTCCCCCACCCCCCCATAAAAAAAAAGTGGTTGTCCCACTGGCTATCATAAGTTGAATGCACCAATTTGTAAGTCGCTCTGGATAAGAGCGTCTGCTAAATGACGTAAATGTAATGGACAGATAGAGGGCTGCATCAAAAGGGAGCCTCTGCTGTTCAGTGCAGTTGATGTAAACATCGATTTTAATCACAATTTACATCTCCACCCACAAATAATCTCCACCCACAAATAATATTGTAAACTTGGTGTTTCTGTTAACACCATAATGATCTTATCACACAGGTATGACATTGAACAAAGAAGCCCGGCAGAGAGCATTCCTACTCACTGATTACATCATAATTTATAATGAAGTGATATTGGTTGTCTTGTCACATCCCAAAGCTTAGCTAAGACTACATTTCATTTTGCTACACATGGATGGAGAGAGAGATGGACAGAGGGTTGAGTCCCCCTGCTGGACATCAGATACTGTCTCGTTTTCCAGCTGCTTGTCAACACTAAAAGAAAGACAAGTGCATCATGAAGAGTTGAATTAACTCAAGGTTGAGTTAGCGGGTTTAGTTAACAGGTTAACTCAAGACAATGAAAAAGTGACATAAGTGATAAATGATAATGAAATAATCAGAACAGCGATAACAAAAAACACAAGGATACTAGAAATGGCTTAGGGTGTCATTCTTGTTCTAATAGTGCTGTATGGTATTTTATATTAATAAAGCTTTATATAATAAGTATCAGCTCATTATGTAGTTATTTATATATGGTCTGTGCTATCTGGGATCCTTGGGACATCCCTATCCCATTGAAGTTGACATTTTAAATGGTGAAGTTAAGGGTTAAGGTTAGGTTTAGGTAAGGGCTATGGTTAAGGTTAAGGTTAGAGTTTAGGGTAGGGACGTCCCAAGGACCCCAGATACCACTGACTATATATGGTGTAGGATAATGTCTGTATGAAAATGATAATAAAATGCCTACTTGTGTAATAACACAATGTTTATGGCATTGTCATTCAGTTGAAATGTTTTTCTTTACTGTCTTTTGCTTTGATGTAAAAACCAAATAATTACATAGGCCTAATTATATGTGTATATCAAGGTGATGCCAGAAAGCAAAAATACATAAATACCGGTAGCCAAATTGAAGCAATCTAAAGGGGAACCAACCGCTCAAATAGTTTTGGTACATATGGAGCTACTGAAAATGATAACATACCGTTACATTTCATGGCTGTTATTATACCGATCTATGGGCTTTCCTGAGATAAATTATCTGGTATAACTTTTATCTTGTTCATTTTATTTCAAGAACATCCGTTTATTTCTTTATGACCGAATTGCGCGTCCTTTGGAAAGGTTTGAATGGTTGCAATAACGTCAGACGGAAGCGATATCCTTTTTTGGTGAAATCCTGTTAAGAGTTATTTTGAATGAAAAGTGTAGGCTATTTTAAGCCCACACAAACTCGAGAGCTGCTTCGTGATGAGAGCCCCCGCCATCTCCACTTGACCGGTGCGGCTCGAGACTATAAATTCGCGCGCAATGGTCATGGGAGGACATAAACACCTGTATCTGCAAGTAGATTGGAGTTGGAGAAATGTAACGTATCTCGTCAGAGAATCTTTTCGAAAGCAAGAAGAACGTCTAATGTTCAGGAGGACCAGGGACGGAGAGCAGAAATGGAGAGCCCCATAAGTGAAGACAGGCAAGTGATATTATCTATGAATGTATGTTGTTTTAATTTGCCTACAAGTTGACAAATTAAAATGTATGTCTGGTCAATGAATGGCATAAATTGAATGCACAATCTGGGATTTCAATGAGTGACATTGACTCTTCAAGAATATAGGCCTATGCATTATGATTCTATTCGTTGTATAACTGTCTTGCCCAGAATAAAGAATAACTAATACTTCATGGTGTTATGGTTGTTATTTGAGTCTTGGTAAACAAATTTACACAGATCCCAGAATGTGGCTTTAATTTAACAAAATATAGGAAATTAGGCATTTAAATACTGTTATCATTGTAATTATTTTTTTGTTCTCTTAGATTTATCAGCCGACCTTTTTACAATGAAAATTATAAAGACATGGAGTTGGATGATTGGTCACCTCCAGATGCTGATCTTACACAGAAGATGGTGACCCAAATAGAACACTATCTTTCTGATGAAAATCTAGCAAAAGATGCATTCCTTTTAAAACATGTAAGAAGAAACAAGATGGGTTATGTGAACATAAAGCTGCTGACATCTTTTAAAAAGGTGAGTAACTTTTCTTTTCCCTAATTTTCCAATTAATGCAACTGAAAAAAATATCCTGTTTTAAATATATTGACTTCAATTTTGTTATAACACATTTTTATATCAAGGGATTGAGATATTAACTTGACATTTACATCCATGTTCTATTAGATGAAGCATCTAACCAAAGACTGGCGAGTCACAGCCTACGCCCTAAATTACTCCTCCAAACTAGAAGTCAACAAGGAGGGCAACAAGGTCCGTCGCAAAGACCCAGTCTCGGAGTCCCTCTTGGTTCAGGTGCCCAGCAGAATTCTGTTCGTGTGGAACATCTCTGCTGCGCTGACCTCTAGTGGTAATGGTGGAAATGAAGACGTCCCTGCACCCCAGACGAGCACTATGGAAACTGCCATCACTCTCCTGGAGCCCTTTGGAAGCATCTGCACAGTGAGGGTGTTCCGGCCGGGGAAGGAGCTCCCACCAGAAGTCCAGAGGTTCGCCTACAGGTACCCTGAGCTGTGCTCCCAGGAAAGTGTTCTGGTAGAGTATGAGGACTTGGAAGGCGCCGGCAGAGCCTACCACCAGCTGTCCCAGTCCGAGGACTCTGTGAGAGTCGTCCTGATCGGGAGGACGTCAAAGAAGAAAGCAGGCCACAAGTTGGGAAGCTGTGTTGAGGAGAGAGGTGCCGGTAAAGGTGCATCAATCGCCAACCGCTGCTTGGAGCAGCTCCAGTTCCGAGGGAACGACTCTTTGGCGTGGAGTTCGTCCGGCGAATCCGAGGTGGCCTCTCCGCTACACATGCCTCGGTTCTCCTCGGGCCAGGTATGCAGGAGCCCCTGGGACAGCCCTCGCTCCAGCCCCTACCACAGCCCCAGGGTCCTCCGGGCACCTCTGCCCGCCCCTCCGCGGGTCTCCCCGCTCCTGGCCTCCGAGATGTGGAGGAGCCCCGACACCAGCCCGGATCTCAGTCGACGCAACTATGACAACTCGTCCGATAGCAGCAGCCTCTGGTTCCAGAGGCGTAAACTGGCTGCGGTGCAAGCATCCTCCCTGGATGACAGCAACAGCAGTATGCAGGGTAGTCTGGGTATTAAGAGGGTCCTAATGGGGGATTCCCTGCCCCCCGGGGTCATCCGGTTCCCCTACGGGCCAGATGGGACAAGAGGATTTCCCAGCTCCTTCGTAGGAAGAACACTTCAGTACACCCTCAAGACATGACCAATGCTGTTTGTGTTGTTTGTTATACGTTTCAGGAAGTAATCTATTGAATTTGATAGATTTGATCATTTTACAGTCTCTTATAGACCTGTGTGCAGTAAAGACTGTAAAAAGCATCTTGAAGGTGAATTCTAGAAATAAAATGTAGGGACGGTATCCCGAAAATGCCTAGTTCTGGACTAAGATGCACTTCCAATGGAGTATCTCCCCTGAACATGTTATAAGGACTAGGACTTCTAACCGTTATGCTGTTAAATCCTGTGGCTAACATCTCAACATCCACCCACACAGTGACTATACCTTAACTTCCTATCTTTCCTCATTCTATGACTCAGCTGCAGTTATTTATATTCTTAAAAAGCCCAGTGCAGTCAAAAACGTGATGTTCCTGTGTTTTATATACATTTCCACACTATGAGGTTGGAATAATACTGTGACGCTGCCCTGTTAGTGTAAGAGCTGTTTGAAAAGGCCGCCTGAAATTTCTGCCTGTTTTGGTGGGATGAAGTTTTGGCCTGCCTATCAACAGGCGGTAAATTAGTTAATAGACCAATAAGAAAGAGAGTTCCAAACCTCTCTGCCAATAACAGCTAGTTTTCCCCTCCGCACTCAGACCACTCCCAGACAGTCTTAGCAAAATTCTTTCTTGATAAATTGCTCTTTGCTAAGAAGCTATTTTTGACCATTTTTAATAGAAAACGATCCCAGTAAGATATTTAATTGTTACCCTGTAATGATTTGATATTGAGATCAAAACGGCTGCTGTTTTGACTGAGTGCAGGTCAACATTGCACCGTGCTCTAGTGGAGAAAAGCTGTTTGTATATTTATAACACGAATGTCGCCATGACAACATTTGTAAGTGACTCTGGATAAGAGCGTCTGCTAAATGATGTAAATGTAAAACATGAGAAACTGCCGGAGGCCTCAAGGACTGTGTCGAGAGTCCCTGCACTACAGCAAAGGGCTTCTTTTCTGATTCAAAAGGCTGACAATGACGAAAATTATGCCTCATGAGAGCTCTTTTGTTTGCTTTTGTTGGCGTGTCGATTAAAATATATGACGAAGTCTCTTGAATGGGTGAGGAGCTTTTACATGATTACTGTGAACTTTAATTTCCACCCATCATAAAATCACATTAGTATGAAAAGTAGTTGACCAAAATAGCATAATTTCCCATCCCATGTCTATTGCTGGCCAATCAATGACTACCACAGGGCAAGATAACACATATCAGCCTGAATGGTGTACACTACCCATTCATTCCCATTCAGATGTGAAGAAATTAGACAAATCTAAATACAATTGATTACATCATCATACTGTATTAAAGCAAAGGGTGGACAATGAAAGAGATTAATAATATTTTGCAATTGTCCCTATTTTCTATAAGGAATGTGTTGAAACACAAAACTGATTTTTTCCTAGATGTCATCCAGAGACGGGGGGAAAAAAGGCAATGGGTTAAGAAACTGGAGTAATTTAGTGCTTTATCTCACAATGCAACATAACCGAAAGAGTCTCAAACTAATTAAACAGACCTTGGGTTCTCTGAAGATGCATGCATTTTTCATAACACTCAACATCACTGGCTTGTGATCAAATCTATCCAAAAAAAAAGGGTGGAACCAACATAAATTGTATTTAAAGAAAATTCTCAAAACGGATTTGATCTTACTCAAGTCTTCTAAGGATTGGTCTTAGTGCAGTTCCCCTGTACATGACAAACACTCAGAGATCCTGTTCAATCCAACTAGTGCACAAACAAAACCCCCTATAAACATATACAGTAGACAGCAAGTAGCCATTCCTTACGTGACATATTTTCACCTTACATCTTTATTGTGGACAAACAGAGCATTAGTAAAGAAGCCAAACTAAATCTTATGCTTTCCAGGACGCAAATATGAGGGGTTGGTATCCATTTATGGAGAAAAACTTTTTCTGTTGTTGAAATTAGTCAGGTGGTATATGTGGTTAGTAACTAGCTGCTCTGTAAGCACGTTGCTAACGCGAACAAATCCTGATGCAAACTTTGGTCTTCAACTGACAGATAAAGAGGAAAACTTAATTTGTTAGACTAACATGAGGATGAAGGTCTAGTATTACATAGCGCTGTCGTGGACAGTAATTTACAGTGCATTCACCATTTTGTGTCTGAGCAGCGTCCGTCTGTCACAGTGGATGCCACAACCTTGTGGGACGTCCTCATTGGGAAGTGCACAAGTTCAGACACTGGGCTGTCATTTTGAATCAAAAGACCTCCAGGTCAGCAGCGTTGTAGACTACGGGTGTGTCCTCAGTGCCCATGGCAGGTTCTGGCTCTGGCTCCGGTTCCTGTTGGCCCTCCTCTTCGGCAACCACCTCTAGAGACTCCAAGGCCTCGTTGGTGTCGCTGGCGAACGTTTCTCTGGAGACATCGTCGTGTTCCTGCAGGTTCAGCGTGTTGATGGCCTGCTTCATCTTCTTGGCGACAACGTGTCGCCTTCGCTTCTGCGCTGACTTCTTGCCCTTGTAGTCCTTCTGGATTTCGTCGTAAAATATTTCCTGTTAAAAAAATTACATGTTTACAGAAATTACATTATTAAAATGTAGTGTGTGCATATGGGGAGAACAGAAAAAATATAGGCCTACACTGATTCAGTGGACGGGATTAGAGAAGTACATGAAAAGCCACTTGATTTTACAGTCTCAAAAGTGTCATACCTTGAGGTGCTCACTAGTGATACTGGGAGTGTTCTTCAGCAAGTTGAGATACACCCCTCCAGGAGTCCGTCGCCTGCTGCCATCCTACAGTGAGGTGAACATACCAAATTGGCAAATAATTTCACACAGACTTAACAAGTGGTTACAGACCAGTCTAGGATAAGGGTTCTAATTCAAATCTGTTTAGAAAGGCATGCAGTTACACAAGTGTTGATTAATTGCGACGAGAATTGGGACATTATGGATATCATATAACAGGAGTTGTCAATTAACTCAGCTATATCTATCTCATATAAACTGAAACGAGAACAGATGCATACCATAGTGTACACACCACCAGTCTCCTCAAGTGTGGCAGTCTCTCCAAGCAGTTCAATTGCTTTCTTCTTCCCAATGACTCTCACTATTCGCTCAATCAATTCCTTTTTGGGCTCTTGTAGCCTTGAGGGGAGAAAAGGGATCCGCAAGTTAGTATGAGGTTATTGTACGACTGTGTGATATCGTTGACACTGTGGAAAGAAGAAAATAATGACATTGTATTTAGCCCGCATGGCAAGCCAAACATTTCATATGGCCAAATATTACATAGCCGAGATACTCCAACCAACCAGCTCACCTGTGGGCTATCTCTTCAATCACCCGGTCGTCTGGGTCTTCCTCTGTGATCTCATACCGGCCCTTGATGTCCATCTCAGCCCTGGGGCCCAGCCTCTCTTTGGCCGATCGCTTCCTCTTAAAATGGCCGCCTCCATTCTCTTCGGCGGCTGGCCCGCCGCGCTTCATGTACTCGTCCAGCTGAGTGTCCAACATGGCTACCTCGCCCGGCTCCTGTTCCTCCCTCTCCTTCTCCATGAGCTTGCGGGCCAGGACGTAGTTGTAGGTCTCCACCTGCCTGCTGGCCATGCTAATGGCACCATCCACACCAAGGAAATCCAGCTCAGCTTCCACTGCCTGCTGGGTCTGCTCCTGAACCACAGAGCCCCAGATGTTGTTGACTTTGCGGCCGCCTGGTGCACCCGGGTTAGCCTGGGGGGCTACGAAGCGGGGAGTGGGGACCGGAGCAGGTTGGGGAGCGTTGGAGCACTTCTGCCGCTTCCGCCTCCACACCGCTGCGTCCTCATCAGAGTCTGGTTCGCTATCGCTGGAGTCTGCGGTTCTCATGGTGCTGCGGTAGCTTGTGGCTGACGGGGCTGTCTGTGGAAGGGCCCTGCTCTGGAAAGACTGGCCACTGAAAGTAGGAGCTGCTGCAGGCATCTAGGTGGTAAGAGAAGAGAAGACTGTCAGATCATTTTCAGATGTCAGAATGACAAAGCCTTTTAAATCTATACAAGTGATTAAAATAAACAATCGTGCACAAAGTAAATTATACAAGGCCATTCAAAAACGTCTTAAACGTTAAGTCCCCTATTTAGGGGACTTTGACCGGTTCTGGACCAGTTCTGACCTACATTTTTGTGCACTCCGTGAATGCTTTGGTGGTCCTGTTTCACATGCCGTTCTCCGCTCTCATCTGAGATGCAGTATGTTAAATCTGACACCTCACTTGCATAAGGAGTGACATGTCACATTTTCTGGCCTATCCAGACAAAGGATCAATTTCCTCTGCCTGTGAACCTCGCAGCTCTGCTTACAATACGGCATATGAAACAGGAGACCCTAGAGTTTAATCTCACAGTGATGTTCTCAGATGGATTTAGAGCACTCAACATAAAAAATTTTTTTTTGTAGAATTTAAACAAGACCACTTTCTCTTCGTCACAGAGGGATGAAATCCCTTAAAGCTGAAGTTGTAAAGAGTCAGCTGGCATCTCCACTTTGCTCAGAGGACACTGGGCAGAAAATGCTCTCTAGTTATATGAAATGGTGCTAATTTTGTACTGTCACCATGTATGATCATATCTATTTTAAAGTTATAAGAAAGGTGAAATATTATAGTAAGTCATTTCTAAATAAATGTCTTACTATATTTAGAAAGCTTTTCAATCATTTCAAGCCCTATTCCCCCACTTTTGTGGAATAGGAAAACAATGTATGAATTTTCATATTTGTATCATTTTTACTGTGTACTTTGTGTCCTGAAAAGTGACTACCTCAGCAATTTATAACAATTTATACCAGAAAGGTGAGATTTTAATATTTCTGGCAGTATAAGTATTACTAGGTATTGTTTATGGCCCTCGTGATAAATAATTACTTTTGGGTATGTACATTTTTACAAAAAATGTAACAGGTTTTAATAGCAAAGTAGTAGGCCCCTCTGATTAACGTTAGTTGACATGTAATCTCTTGTGGACAGATTCATGTGAAGTGACCATTTTTCGAGAATTACTTCTAGATAACCGAGATTAGATGACGTGCAGCAGAGTCAGAAATTAGCTTGACAGTGTCCACACCATAGCAACGCGAACTAGCTAGCTAGCTAGCTAAATGTAGCACACACTTGCACTAGGACCACTAAGACTTGAAACAAAAAAAACTACAGCAGTCTTTGTGGACGACGTGCTCCTCTAGCAAGCTGTAACTAAAGACTGTTCTTCAATTTGTGCTGTAGCTACGTTGCAAAGCTAGCGTCGCGAACGTAGCTAACGTTAGCTAGCTTTAGCTAATGTTTGCTTCCATTCCCACTTTGCAGAATCAAACAATCCATATTGCTCATGTTTAAGAACGTCTAAATGAATTATCTCCTTACCTGGGGTTTAACATCAACTGTGGATCCCATTTCTGAATCAGAGTTTGATCCAGAAATCTCTCCATCCTCCAAATCATCCATTGTATCGCTGCAAACACCCGCCATTTCTCCAGTCCTACTCGGAAGTAAATAAAAGTTACCCACACATACGTCACAACGTTTTTCCTCTTGATAAATTATATTTAAATTGTTATAGTTTGTGATTCAAAAGCAAGACATGAACAATACCCGTGTAAATATAGATCATTGTAGCTAGCTATATTTATATAACTACAGTTTGCTGGTATATAACCATACAAATTAACACTGAAAAACATATAGCAGAGGATGGTTTCGATCCATCGATCTCTGGGTTATGGGCCCAGCACGCTTCCGCTGCGCCACTCTGCTCTTAGTATGCATGTAACGTTGTATCACTTTACAGTTCCACTGTAACAAAGTACTTATATAATATACTTTAGTAATCCGATTCAAATATATCCCCTTTCTCTAATCACCATTACTATTATTATCATAATAATAATAATAATAATAATAATAATAATTATTATTATTATTATTATTATTATTATTATTTATATTATTATTATTATTATTAATATATTTTTTGTACTGTTATTGTTGATGTCATAATCGCACTTCGCTAGTGGCTTTGTCATTCATGCTAATAAAGCTTTACTGAATCTGAATCTCCCATCACAGTTAATCAATACGGTAATGATGTTGACAATAAATCAAACTGAACTATTACAGTTTTGATTTAAATCGGCTTGAAAATCTATGGCAAGACTTGAAAATGGCTTTCTAGTAATGATCAACTCCCAATTTGACAGCACTTGAAGAATTTTAAAAGAATAATGTGCAAATATTGTTCAATCCAGGTGTGCAAATGTAATGGTGTAATTAAACTGTTAAATTCCTGCATAAAATGGGTATTATGCCACCTCCTGGTAGATTAGTGTGTTTACATTGTCTAATACACTCAGTGATAAAGGTATGGTATTCTGGGTCATCCACAGCAGATTTATGTAGAATTGCAGTGGGTGAGTTGAACATTGAATAGTCCTGGGATAGAAATGTATGAAGTTGACATTGCATCATAAAATCCACCGTTTGCATCGTACATTAGCAATTTATGTTATTAGTAACTACTGTTGTTGGTTTGGCGTTAAATAAACCACTCTTTATATGTTATTTGCTGAATTTCATTTTTCAATGTGGGTTTTATGCTAGTTAAAATTCCCTCTTTGCAGTTGGTAGTGAACTCGAAAATGCATCTTCTTTAGGAGTGATATTTATATCCCGTCGACTACTGATCATTCATCAATACTGTGTCTGTCCCATCATTGCAGGTAATTTATGACAAATGTATAAAGTATATGTTTTATAAACTCATGAGCACCAGCCAGCGTATTAGCCTGGTTTTGTTAGTTTAGGAAAATATGTGGTACATTCTAGGTGTCTTATATTTCTTCGCCACAAGAGTGTGACATTGAGTAATTTTTCAGGTTAATTTGATATATTTTGAATACTAAAATGGATGATAGTTTATTGTGATGTTGTAAATATGAGATTACACATGGAAACAATGTATTTATTTTTATTATAGTAAATTAGGAATTATTAGAAATTGTTAAATCCACTATACGATCACAATGACTTTGATAGACATTTTGATTATTTATTTTTGTTAGTACATTATACAGCAGATTTATGGAGAATTGCTGTGGGAGTGATATTTATATCCTGTTGACTACTGATCATTCATCCATTCTGTGTGTCCCATCATTGCATCTTTGGAAATAAATGAACTATCCAACCATTGCTACTTCCTGTGTTGACTTGGACTGGACCAGGAAGGTCACACAAAGCTCTTAGAGATTTACCCAGAAAGACTCACAGCTGTAATCACTGCCAAAGGTGATTCTAACATGTATTGACTCAGGGGTGTGAATACTTATGTCAATGAGATATTTCTGTATTTCATTTTCAATACATTTGGAAAAGATTCTAAAAACATGTTTTCACTTTGTCATTATGGGGTATTGTGTAGATGGGTCAGAACAAAATCCATTTAATCCATTTTGAATTCAGGCTGTAACACAACAAAATGTGGACTAAGTCAAGGGGTATGAATACTTTCTTAAGGCACTGTATAGCGTACTGTGCAATACAATCTTCTATATATATATAAAATAAAATAAAAGTTGTACAATGTGCTCTGCAATATAATATAATAATAATATGCCATTTAGCAGACGCTTTTATCCAAAGCGACTTACAGTCATGTGTGCATACATTTTTACGTATGGGTGGTCCCGGCGATAAGATAAGATAAGATAACCAGTTTGATTTCTAAACCAGATGAGTTCTCAAATAGCAGCTGCCCTATACCATGGTGGGCATGCATAATGCTGGATGCATTGGACTATAAGGTATGGATAATGATAAAGAGCCTGTAGGATTATAGAAAAAGTAGTTGGGAAATGAATGTTTGAGTTTCAAAAATGAAATGTTCAGTGAATGTGAGTATAGTATATTTAGGTGGTTTAAATGATTAACATCAAATCAAATAGTGTTTCACCATTTATTGAGTACGGAGACAAATAGCAAAGGTGTCTCAGGCAGTATTTGAAGTATCTAAATATAGTGTAACCTACAAATCAATGTTTATCAAGTGCCATGGAGGGCACAATCTTATAATGTTTACCATCTATGGCAAAAGCCTGGGCCTCTGATAGAGACTGTAGAACTGTCATCAACGCATGCTTCAGTATTCCCCCTTCTCTCTAGGAGCATTTGTGTGCCAAGGCCCCATAGGCGTATCGAAAGGATCTGTTCTTCAAATTTAAAATGCACTAGACTGTGCAAGACAAAATCCACAAAGAAAAGACAACAGGCAAATGCATGTGTGGTCCCAATGTCTAAATAGTGACGGCTGGGCTAGTTCAAACTGCTGTAGGATGATTCTCCTCACAGGTGAGTGAATCAGCCCATGCTTGGTGATCTCTGGGAGCAGGACACAGGAGAGCTGAATAGATAATGTGAGACAAAAGTGAGAGACAAGAATGAATAAAATAAATCACAGCAAAGGAATGTAGTTTGTGAGCTAGAAAATGAACATCCTGACAGTTTGAGGCAGGGTGCTCTGCAATCATCCCACTCCAACTATTGACAGGGATAATATGGCATTTCTATTTTGTCAGTATGAATGAAATTAGTGAGTCCTGCCTTGATGACTGTATTAGATTTACACTACTTGTCCTATCGATTATTGTAGTGTTAAATTATTACTTGGAATAAACTGATAGCTAAAACGCTCCTTGTCCTGGTATGGTGAGATAACTCGATCCTGCGTTGGAATATGGCGATACAAGTGCTTATTTCAAAGAGCGCTCTGTAAGCCACACCCCAGTGGGCAGAGCTAGGCAAGTTGCACTGGGACACGTTTTAATATGAAGAAAAGCCTCTTATTTTACAATGGGTCCGCCGTGGTTCTGTGTAGCCTAGTTATGCTAAGTTATGATTTAATAAGTAAAAGATCTTTGAGTAGTAAACAGGGAAACAACAACAAGTCCCAGACAGTTCACAACAGAACATACCAGAGGGCAACCTAAATGATTGGGATCATCATGTTGCCACCAGTGTAAAGTACTTAAGTAAAAGTACTACTTCAGTCGTTTTCTGGAGTATCTGTACTTTACTTTACTATTTTATATATTTTACAACTTTGACTTTTACTTCACTACATTCCTAAAGAAAATAATGTACTTTTTACTCCATACATTTTCCCCGACACCCAAAAGTACTTGTTACATTTTGAATGCTTAGCAGGACAGGAAAATGAGACATGAATTGTGTATGTGCCATTCAGAGGGTGAATGGGCAAAACATTTAAGTGCCTTTGAACAGGGTATGGTAGTAGGTGCCAGACGCACCGGTTTGTGTCAAGAACTGCAACGATGCTGGGTTTTTCACACTCAACAGTTTCCCGTGTGTATCAAGAATGGTCCACCACCCAAAGGACATCCAGCCAACTTGACACAACTGTGGGAAGCATTGGAGTCAACATGGGCCAGCATCCCTGTGTCCATGCCCCGACAAGGGCAAAGGGGGAAGGGGGTGCAACTCAATATTAGGAAGGCGTTCCTAATGTTTGGTATACTCAGGGTATACAGAAAATATGTGTTCAGATACAGTTGGTCTGTTGTGCCACCAAGGACCATTCTTACAAAACTACAGGAGACCCCAATGAATCAGGAGAACTTCACCTCGTAAGAATCAGACTTTCGGTGCCAGATTTATTGAAACTGTAATTCAGTGGGGTAAAATGTACAAGCAGCCCAATACGATAGCCACAGATTCTTAACAAATTTACTGTGCATATCGATGCAAACTGACTATTAAATTATACATACTTAAATGAAATAAACATATTGGTAGTTACATTTGACATTATTGTTATGCTTTAAGCCACACATAGGCCTATGCACAAGCAAAGCATACTGTATGTTCCAATATTTTGGTCAAACTTGGGCATTAGCAAACAGAATTACATTTCTCAGACAGTGTAGATCCCCTCTAACTGCTCGGAAAGACACTTGTATATTACAACAACAAAAAAATCATGCTGTTCTTCCCCAGCCACATCAATTAAAAAAGAAAGTTGAAATGCTGTTCTTCCCCAGCCACATCAATTAAAAAAGAAAGTTAAAATGCTGTTCTTCCCCAGCCGCATCAATTAAAAAAGAAAGTTACAATGCTGTTCTTCCCCAGCCGCATCAATTAAAAAAGAAAGTTACAATGCTGTTCTTCCCCAGCCGCATCAATTAAAAAAGAAAGTTAAAATGCTGTTCTTCCCCAGCCGCATCAATTAAAAAAGAACGTTAAAATGCTGTTCTTCCCCAGCCGCATCAATAAAAAAATAAAGTTAAAATGCTGTTCTTCCCCAGCCGCATCAATTAAAGAATAAAGTTAAAATGCTGTTCTTCCCCAGTATCACGTTCGTTGATAAATGAGACGGACCAAGGCGCAGCGTGATATGCATACATGTTTATTTGGAATGAATAAACAAGCGACAAAACAACAAACTAAACAAAACGTGAAGTCCACGGTACACAAACAACATATCTCACACGGA